GCAAAGTGGCCATGGATCTCAGTGCCAGGCCGCAAGCTGTTCAGTACTTTGTACTCTAGTGCCAACACCCTGGATTGGGCCCCAGTCAGCTAGTGTCTTTACGGACACATAGATGATTTATCAATCAATCAATCAATCAATCAATCAATCTTTATTACGGTCCAAAGACCCAACAAATCGTTACAAAGCAATGCACAATTCAGACAGCCTACCTCCAGGTTAAACAAGCATTTTGTTCAGACTTAAAGATAGGGATCACTGGTTCTTGCAACCACCAATAAAAACTTTGCCACTGCTAATGTTCTAGCGTTTGTCCAGTCTTCCAATAGGAACCTGACATAGTGAACCTCTGATTTTCCCAGGAAAGGGTAATATCAATTCAGCCCTGGCTTGCTCGTATTTCGCACAGTGTAGCAAAATATGTTTTATAGAATCGATGTCTTGAGCACACGAGCAAAGTCTGTCCTGGTAGGGAACTCCTCTCAACCTGCCATCCAACACTGCAGAAGGAAAGACGTTTAGTCTGGCTTTGGTGAATAACCTTTGATAATTTAGTACTGTCAGGTTTTTAATGTTTGATAATTTAGTACTGTCAGGTTTTTAATGTTTGATAATTTAGTACTGTCAGGTTTTTAATGTAAGGTGTTAACTTAAAGACATGCCCATATTGTACTCCTACTGCCAGCAGACTACAGACTGTGTGTGATCGAGATCACAAGTCACTGTGTGTATTATCCCATAATCTTTGCTTTAACGTCTTTAGGGCGCCTTCATAACCTAGGTAATAAAGTTGGGGGGGGGTGACACACGAACAGAGGTAGCTTTTCTAGCCATTTTCTAGCCATATTCTAGCCATTTTCTGCCATTTGCTGACATACTCCTCATTGGTCAGGTGTTGGTACAAACCCTTCCCTAGATCAAACACTGAAGATGATTTATTTTAATGTCTATTTCACAATAGAGCCAGTGGCTATGAAAGGACGCCATCCTAATCCAGTGCCTTTGCTTATCACTTTCCAGAGAGTCATTTTGCCATTTGCAGCAAGTTGAAGCCAGCAGATTGACTTGACTGCAGAGAACACTGTGCCCCAGTTATAATGGGTATTACATTCCTGTACTTTACAGTCCAGTGGGGGGAAAACAATATGGAAGTAGTAGAGTGGAAGGAACAAATGCATTCTCTATTGTACAGAAAGACTAGTCTCACTACCTAAGGAACCTCAGAGAGCTCGCTTGTACAGTTGTTTTAAAGGTACTCATTTGAAAATACCCCCCAAGATAAACTGCCTAATGCAAGTGTCTCCCAGCTCTGTTCTGCCCTTGATTGCTTCGGCACAATGTTTATCCGCATTTTCAGCAGGAATTCCCCTGAGAGAGAACGGGGAGAGTGGGGGGAGTTTGGTGTGTAGGTCTAACTGTTGAATATTGCAGCTGCCTCCCGGCTATGTTACCTTATCTCAGTATGCTGTAGTGCTCAGTCATGTGTGTTTGCTTCATGGAGCGGATTGTCTGTGAAACAAATATAATCAAATGGAGGGAAGATGAGAGTGTAAGTGGGAAGGACATAAAACCAGCTTCGTACGCAGGCAAAATAATTATACTGTTAAATCGAGCACGGCCAGACGTGGTAAATACAGTCATTGTGATCCCCAAGGGACCTCCAGAGTGGATGGGGTTTTTCCAATCCCTCAAAGAAAGAGAGTTACATCTTGATTGACAACCATCAAAGTCCTTGTTTAAAGTTCCTAACATCAAGATGATATTCCGTATGATGGCTGTGTCAAAGGAAACACATCTGTTTTGTGAAACAGTTGGCATAGTTCCCCCTGAAAATAGTTTTGTATACTGCTACATTTGTTGGCACTAGAGATGGGGAGAGCAATTGATTTACTTTGTATTTACTGAGTTTTTCTTCCTGAACCAACACATGAACCACAACGAAGCTATCTTTCGAAATTTGCATTTCTCTGAATCTTGCAGTTCCTCCCTCCTGCCAAAAAAAAATCTGTACAGAAGGGAATTTATTAAGTGGAAAGTGGTCACATAAATTGTGGCATGCTTGGATATTAATTTATTCAGCACTTGTGATACGAAGGAATGCTATAAGTCTACTACCTTGATCCTTGAAGAAAATCTTTGGTGGATTATTTATCCAGACAGCGTAATTGTCAATGTATTCGGAGTAATGGTATACTAATTCTCAGACTGTGGTAGTTGATAGGTTTCCTGCAAATTACTGGGATCAAGCTTACTACGCAAACAAACAAACAAACAAACAAATAAATAAATAAATAAATAAATGCCTGCATGAGAACTTTTCAAGGTCCCCTCTCACGTCTGTAAAGTTAAACTGTATTTTTTACTTTATGGGAAGTTTCTGTGTTGCAGGAGAATTCGTCAACCTTTTTCAGAATTTTAGTCTGTGCAAGTCAGTTTCAACTGAGCAATCGTCATATTCTTTTTTCTTTGCTAAAATGAAGTAGCTAGGTGCTTTCTGGAAACAAAACACTCATTAAAATGCAGATCTCTAGAGCTTTCCACAAGCTATTTCTCTCACAATGCTACTGCCAATAAACAGGTGCAGTTGTGAACAGGAATAGTGTGACCTGGTGTAACAATTATCTTGTAACGGTTAACAGTGAGCAATGGCAGGCATGGCTGATGCTGTTCTCGCCTCCCTTTCATCGGCAAACAGAAGGCAGTCGTGGACCTGGGAGTCTCAGATTTCAGTGGCACCCTGTGCACCGCCAAAATTTAGCATCCCTTGCCTCTCGCCTTCTATTCTACACCATTTGGGCGCGTGGTTGAGCTCCCTTAAATCCACGTCTGCAGAAGGGATGGGGAATAGGAGGTAAAGGACCCTTAAAATAATAATCCTCTGCATGCTACAGAAATTAGATAATTCATACACAGTGATATCTGTTTGAACAACTGCAACATCAAGTGATCGCTTATGCACCTGTGAATAGACCGTCAGAAATCTCGTATCAGGAGCTTTTATTCCACCATGTAGATTGCGTGCTAGATTCATGTAGATGAAAAAGGAAAAGGAACCCCACAAATCAGGAATGATCAGCAGGGCAAGAGAGGGAACACAATGCAATGCTAGAGCGCTCCCTTTGCATACGGAAAATGCCTGGTATAATTTGTCACATATACATTTAAAGAACAAAGTTGTGGCTACCAGGAAAAGAAATCTGTCTGATGGGAAGCAGTACTGAGCTACATGTTCCAATTCTCTAGGTCAGGCAAGATGAGTCTCCAGGAGCTGCCTTTCCACCTGAGTGCTTCAGATGGAAAAGGCAGGAAGTAAGGCCCCCTCCATTGGCCTAGCTGCAATGTAAAGATAAAGGTAAAGGGACCCCTGACCATTAGGTCCAGTCGTGGCTGACTCTGGGGTTGCGGAGCTGATCTCATTTTACTGGCCGAGGGAGACGGCATACAGCTTCTGGGTCATGTGGCCAGCATGACTAAGCCGTTTCTGGCAAACGGAAACACCGTTTACCTTCCCGCCGGACCGGTACCTATTGATCTACTTGCACTTTGATGTGCTTTCAAACTGCTAGGTTGACAGAAGCTAGAACAGAGCAATGGGAGCTCACCCCGTCATGGGGATTCAAACCGCTGACCTTCTGATCGGCAAGCCCAAGAGGCTCAGTGGTTTAGACCACAGCGGTACCCGCGACAAGCAAATGCCAGTTTTTCTCATTTTCTCAGTTTTCTAATCTTACATTCAGTTCTCCATATTTCCACATCAGCCTGAATATTTTTTTTAACGTCCTCCTAAAAGTTCATCAGTGCTTGGGTGCTGTTTTCTCCTAATATGCACATGTGTGTAATTTTGCTTACCATGCACATTTTTACAAAGCAATTTCCCCTAATATAATGCATTTTTGTATATTATTTGTATTTATTTGCACAAACTACCCTAGGAAAGGGGTGTGTGTGTGTGTGTGTGTGTGTGTGTGTGTGTGTTTTACACATTACTTATCTGGGGAACTGCATTGTAAATGCCTTCAACAGAAGGGCGTGGGGTTATTGGGCTGTTATTTGATTTTGTATTTTGTGGTTTTATATTGTGATTTTATCTTGTGATCCACACTGAGACCTACAGGTAAAGGGCAGTATACAGATAATAATGATAATAATAATAATAATATTAATAAATAATTCAAAGTGTAAATTTTGAAGAATGGATGCGTTTTGATTCTTGTATTGTTTCAGAGAATGCAATTTAGGTAGGTCCCCCTTTAAATGCAAATTACACCCCCCCAAAAAAAAAATCCCTACTGGTATCAACTGCCTTCTGGCTTCCCCATTTTCAGACCTGTCTCCACAGTAGCAGCTGTTTCAGCTGACTCTCTTGGTCATAGGGAAAGGCTGGAACCAACACCCATTTCCCCCCTGCCTGCTGGAACGGTCCCCAGTAGCTTCCACTCCACTTGATTACATCATAAAGAATGCCAGGGAAATGACCCTCATCCATTGGCTCAGCTAGATCCATTTGGCTCCTCCCCTCCCAGAACTGCTCCAATAGCAGCTCTTCAATCTGTCTGTCATGGATGGAAAGGCAAGAATGAGTCTCATTCACCAGGAGCCAATGTATCAGTTGGATTATCCTCTCTCCCAGGTGCCTCCTGATATAACTACTTCACCTCATCATTATAGAACATCATTATTTAACAGTATGAAATAACTTGTAGCCAAGTTTCCTTATTTTCCACTTCGCTGCTGGAGGGCAGAGAGGGATGTGGTGTGTGTAGGAAGACACTAGTCTTACGTAGGAAGTCAAAGGGTGGTATTCAGCTAAGTTTTACTCACAGTAGACTTATTGAAATTAATGGATCATGTTCATTAATTCAGAGGATCTACTGTGAGTAAACCTTAGTTGGAATACCACCCCAAATCTACATTTGTCATTCCACCCATTTCTGCCTCTCGTCAGTTGGCATACAGTCCTCAGAAGATTGTTCACTCCTAACAGCTAACTTAGAATGAAATGTTTCCTAGCACAGTCAATAGAGCATGAGACCCTTAATCTCAGGGTTATGGGTTCAAGCCCCACGTTGGGGAAAAGATTCCTGCATTGAAGGGGGTTGGAAAAGATGACCCTCATGGTCATCTTCTATGATTTTCCAGCATCTGCTCAGCTTTATTGGTTGGTAGTGATGGGGTTGGGAGGGGGGAAATAATGGTGTTGGGATGTCATAATAAATTAACCTGTTTTTTAATACTGCATTTCAATGTTCTAAGCTGTCCTGGAATCTTAGAGTGATGGGTGGGTAATAATAATAATAATAATAATAGTCAATGTAAGAGTTGCTTCTGGTTATGTAGAAGGTGAATGGAATGCAAGGGACTGATTACATTGACTGGAGAATACACTGCACAAGAAAGATCAGTATTCTATTTTATTTTTTTTACCAAGGAAGCTACAGCTGGTTCTCAATGAATTGTTGCTTCCGATTTATGTTTAGCAAGGAAGAATATGGATTTCCCCCCATTGTTATCATTGTTTTAGCCACTGGCAAAGAGACAACTGTATTGGAAGCTAATTTGGAAGCTTGGCTCTATTATTTGGCACTCTTAATTACTTGCCTCAGTGAGCAAGGCAGCCGGAGGACAAAAGAATGAGAGCCGACTATTGCATTGGGAGACTTGGGTGAGAGGAGCTGCAGGCAAAGGGTTCGGAAGCATTGCAGGATGGGGAAAGGTCTTGCGCCGTCTGCTTCTTGCTCGGAGAGCTCTTCATTATTGTCACCAGCACGTCGCCGCTTGATTTCATACAACAGTTTTCTTTGGTGGATTATTTAGCAACCCCTCCCCGTCCTGCTCCATCCACCTTGGTGGCTAGGGTGAAATACTAGGGTGCTTTCAGCTGGTTCTAGGAGCCCTCTCTGTTGTGAGATTTTGGGGTGAGCTGTGAGTTTTTCTGAGCCCTGTGTGAAAGGCAAGGTGGGTGGATGCAGTCCTGTGTGGAAGCTAGGAAGCTGAAAGGTGTTTACTGAGGAGGTGTGTCCTCCAGAGAAGGAGCTGATAAAAGGTAAAGGGACCCCTGACTATTAGACCTCATTGGCCAAGGGAGCTGGCGCACAGCCTCCGGGCCATGTGGCCAGCATGACTAAGCCACTTCTGGCGAACCAGAGCAGCGCACAGAAACGCCGTTTACCTTCCCGCCTATTTATCTACTTGCACTTTGAGGTGCTTTCAAACTGCTAGGTTGGCAGGAGCAGGGACCGAGCAACGGGAGCTCACCCCATCATGGGGATTCGAACCGCCGACCTTCTGATCAGCAACTCCTAGCCTCTGTGGTTTAACCCACAGTGCCACCCGCGTCCCTGAAGGAGCTGATACCAGTATATATTTATTAGTAACTAATATTAATGTTTTTATTGCTGTAACATGATATTTGGGTTTGCTGTGCATCACTTAGAGATATTATTATATTGTTATAATTATATTATATATTGAGCAGTATATCTGTCTATTGTTGTTGTTGTTTTTTGTTAAAGTGCACTAAGTGAGGATTTTTAAAAAATGTTTAAAGCTTCAGTTAAGGTGTTGTTGTTTTTAAGTATGTTACTCTGCTTTAATGAGAGAAAGAGAGAACGAACTCAATAGAGGCCTGCACAAGCAGTCCTCTAGACAGCCTCACAACACAAGGCTTATTGATGGGCACAAACAAGCACAGTGTGTACTGCAAATTAAAGACCACCATGAAACCACAAAGTTTTGTTGCTTTTTTAAATGGAAACAAGAGTAAACATCGTTCAGCCTCTCTTAATTATATTAAGGGGGGAAAGACCAAGAGGCAAACCCCTTCCACCACCTCCCTAATACGGGACAACAGAGGAAAATGAGTGCCTTTTGTTTGGCCTGGATCTATTTGTTTGAAACTTGCAAGAATTTTAGAGGGTCTCCCTTGCCTGAAAATTTCTCCACTTTGGCCAAAAGGAGGAAAAGTGATTGTTTTGTTTTGTTTTTTAAATAGTGAATGGGAAACACATAACTTTGTTTCACAGACTGAAGTGAGGAGAGGACAGAGCAACTCAAAACAGATCAGAATTTATTTTATTTTTTTAAGTACAGATACAACCTGGATCTTGGGATCCATGCACACCTCTAGCAAGTTCATGTTGTTGGACAGAGGCTAGCTGGTGCTACATTCTGGAATACTAACTCTGCCAGACTTCTTGTCATTCAGGGATTTGATGTACAATATTGTTTGTGCCTCCCCACCGTCTGCTGCACTTGTTCAGTTTGTCCTCCTAATGTTTGCCATCCTTCCAGCTCTCATCTCATTCTGTCAAGATCTGATTGCTAGTTCAAATCCAGATAAGATCTTACCAATGCTGACTTGAAGAATATTGCAGTATCCTCTTCTTTGCTTACAGTCAGTTACCTAGTTGCATCTTCCTTGTTTCCCTTATTACCCTTTCCATGGGAAGTAGAATAAATAACATAGTGGGAGAAATATGCAGAACAAGCAGGCATAAGAATAAGCAAAAGCATGTAAATGACCGCATTTGAATAAATAGGTATAATTCATATAGTTAGACTGCATTTGCATAATGCATGCAAGTCACAAAATATCTATTTTTGTGTGTGCACAAAACCATGCCCTTTGTGTTGTTTCTTTGACTCCTCGGCTGTAGATCAAACTAGCTGTGACATGGGAGCTGTCTGACTGGAACTCTGAACATCTTCGGAATGCCTCCGTTGGGACCATGGTGTACGATACAGATGGGGAACCCATGCCTTTCAGATGTTGCTGGACTATTGATCACATCCACAGAATACCTTTACAGCACTTCCCCCATTCTGGGAACTTTAGCTTGTCAAAGGTGCAGAGAGTTGTCAGGAGGCTCCTATTCCCCTCTCAGATCTACAGAGTTCCCTCTGAAGAGGAATTGATTGCTAAACCACTCTGAGAACCATAGCTCGGGTGTGTGGGTGGGTGTAACGGGGTCTTCTAACGACTCTTAGCACCCTTAATGGATTACACTTCCCATTTTCCTATTGGGTGGAAGCCATGACTGTTCAAGTGGGTGTATGGTGTGGAAGTGGCCTTATATTTCCCATCACCCCAGTTTGAGGGGGGTTGTCACTGATGGGAAGGAATCCAGCAACATCTTGCGAACCTCATATTTCCTATTCCAGATGCATATTAAAGGGCAATTTAATGCTTTCCTCTGGTACTATTTACCCACTAAAACTCCCTATCTCGCAGATGTTCACCTCACTCCCCCTCCACCAGCCTACTTGCTGCTCAGCCTATTTGCTTGTTCATTTTAGTTCGTAGAATCAAAGAATCGTAGAGTTGGGTGGAACCTCAAGGGTCATCTAGTCCGACCCCCTGCAATGCAGGAATCTCAGCTAAAGCATCCATGACAGATGGCCATCCAACCTCTGCTTAAAAACCTCCAAGGAAGGAGAATCCACCACCTTCTGGTGTGACCATTCAATCTGGCATATGAATCCTTAGTTTTAAGATTAGGTTGTGTTTAAAAACAAAAACAACAAAAAACCACTTGCTGTCATAATAGAGTATTAAAACATATTTAAGTTCCATGAATAGTTAAGTTATGGCACGCTCTCCCACAGGAAGCAGTGATGGCCACCAACTCGGATGGCTTTAAAAGAGGATTGGACAGATTCATGGAGGACAAGGCTTTCAATGGCTACGCTTTGCCTCCATGCTTGGAGACTGTAATGCTTCTGAATACCAATTGCTGGAAAGCACAGAAAGGTGAGAGTGTTCTTATGCTTGGGTCCTACTTATGGGTTCCCCAAAGGCGACTGGGTGAGAACAGGATCAGGCTCTTCTTATGATCTTCATCAGGCTCTTCTTATGATCTTTAGAACACAATGTTCAAGATGGGTCACAATTAAAGTTATAAAAAGAAATAAAAAAAGAAATTTTCCAGCTACTATTGCTTATTTTTTATTTATATTTATTATGATGATGATATTAAAAATCTCTTTAATTTTGATCCACTGTGAACATTTTATTGGACAGGCAGGCAGTAAATATGTTTTGATAAAACAAAGCAATGAATAAAAAATAAATGCATCTTAAGGAGAGGAATTAAAGAACCTTTTAATGAGGGTGAAAGAGGAGAGCACAGAATATGGTCTGAAGCTCAACATCAAAAAAACGAAGATCATGGCCACTGGGCCCATCACCTCCTGGCAAATAGAAGGGGAAGAAATGGAGGCAGTGAGAGATTTTACTTTTGTGGACTCCATGATCACTGCAGATGGTGACAGCAGTCACGAAATTAAAAGGTGCCTGCTCCTTGGGAGAAAGGCGATGGCAAACCTAGACAGCATCTTAAAAAGCAGAGACATCACCTTGCCAACAAAGCTCCGTATAGTTAAAGCTATGGTTTTCCCAGTAGTGATGTATGGAAGTGAGAGCTGGACCATAAAGAAGGCTGATTGCCAAAGAATTGATGCTTTTGAATTATGGTGCTGGAGGAGACTCTTGAGAGTCCCATGGACTGCAAGAAGATCAAACCTCTCCATTCTTAAGGAAATCAGCCCTGAGTGCTCACTAGAAGGACAGGTCCTGAAGCCAATACTTTGGCCACCTCATGAGAAGAGAAGACTCCCTGGAAAAGACCCTGATGTTGGGAAAGATGGAGGGCACAAGGAGAAGGGGACGACAGAGGACGAGATGGTTGGACGGTGTTCTCGAATCTATAAACATGAGCCTGACCAAACTGCGGGAGGCAGTGGAAGACAGCAGTGCCTGGCATGCTCTGGTCTATGAGGTCACAAAGAGTCGGACACAACTAAACGACTAAACAACAACAACAACAAGGAGAGTTTCAAGGCCTGAAGCTCTAACACCGATGTCTTGCTAGGCTCTGGTCTGGTGCCTGATTCTATGTCTGTGACATTCAGTCATGTTTCTATGTATATAGAATATTTTTAAAGCCGCCAATGCACTCTGTTGTGTGGCAGAATATTGGAAGATCCACCCTAAAGCTGTGGGTTCTTCCCTATCCACAAAAACATTCTCTTTGAAATTGCACAGCACCAGTGTTTTAATTTAGGACTCCATCCTAACC